TTTTCACTTCCAAAAACGGTATACTACCGTAAAATTAATGTCCAATACATGTAATGTCCAGTACAGTTTTTCACCGTATATTGTAGGGGAATTTACCGTTAACCATTTAACAGGTTTTTACTGTAGCATTTTTACAGTCTTTTACCGTTAAATTCACTGTCATTTTTTACAGTGTAGGCTAACACCAGTGTGTAAAAATGCTCTATGAGGTAATTAAAAATTTAATGTATTTTGGCCTGGTTTCACAGACAGGGTTTAGACGAAGCCGGGATTAGGCCATAGTTTAATTAGGACATTTAAGTAATTTTTATAAACGTGCCTTAGAAAAAAACATTACTGGTGTGCTTTTTGAGACAAAACAAAGGCACTGATATTATTTAAGATCAGTCAATGCAAGTGTCTTTCAGTTGAAACAGCTCAGACTTACATTTTAGTCTAGGACTAGGTTTAAGTCTTGTCTGTGAAGTAATTTTTATAAACTTGCCTTAGAAAAAAAAAACATTACTGGTGTCCATCTTGAGACAAAGCAAAGGCACTGATATATTTTAAGATCAATCGCGTGCGATTTATTTATTTATTTCAGTTGAAACAGCTCAGACTTACATTTTAGTCTGGGACTAGGTTTAAGCCTTGCCTGTGGAACCGGGGGATTGTTAATTAGTTATATGTGACCCTGCACCACAACACCAGTCATAAGGGTCAATTTTTTGAAATTGAGATTGACACATAATATGAAAGCTGAATAAATAAGCTTTCCATTGATGTATGGTTTGTTAGGATAGGACAATATTTGGCCGAGATACAACTATTTGAAAATCTGGAATCTGAGGGTGCAAAAAAAATCTAAATATTGAGAAAATCACCTTTAAAGTTGTCCAAATGAAGTCCTTAGCAATACATATTATATTACTAATCAAAAATTACATTTTGATATATTTACGGTAGGAAATTTACAAAATATCTTCATGGAACATGATCTTTACTTAATATCCTAATGATTTTTGGCATAAAAGAAAAATGGATAATTTTGACCCGTGCAATGTGTTGTTGGCTATTGCTACAAATATACCCCAGCGACTCAAGACTGGTTTTGTGCTCCAGGGTCACATATACTAAAATGTTCCAAAGTTTGGCGTCAGTAAGAGTTATAGTTTTATTTAGCAAGGATGCATTGAATTGATCAAAAGTGACAATAAAACAATGTTAGAAAAGATTTGTATTTTAAATAAATGCTGTTTTCTTTACTTTCTAAGCAGCACATTTGTCTTTAGCATTGATAAAGAAATGTTTCCTGAGCAGCAGATCAGCATATTAGAATGATTTCTGAAGGATCAAGTGACACTGAAGACTGGAGGAATGATGCTGACAATTCAGCTTTGCATCACAAACGTTTTGATCTAGCGTATGTGTAATGCTTGAAATTAGTTTTGTTTAAAAATATAAATTGTGACTATGTACGAATATCCGTATAAAACTAAAATTTCATGCAAAAGTCAGTACCGAAGGGGAAAGAAACAGCCTCAATAAAAACTCCCTCAGCAGTGTTTAAAAGCATCCCAGGATGTACCTTGTAAAGTTGTTTGATGAATGACAAGATTGAGCAGAGTTGGGACCTAGACAGAGAAGCTCATGTGTAAGGTTTTCATTTGTGTTTTGCTATTTGTGTTACTTCATAGTTTCAACGACTACTGTTATTCTTAATGTATAAAACAGATATTCGAATGTGTCAGTGTGTCCCACCTTTTGTAGTGTGTATATAGGCCTGTATAAACAGCAGAGGGTGTCTTTGAAACATTTGACATTCGTTTGTTTGAGTTAAAGAAGGTTTTGGCTTTGGAAGCAACTTTACATGGAAAATAAAATTTGTATTGCATATAAGAACCCTATGGAAGCCCTTTACCACCACAGAATTTAATAAAAATTAAAAATGGTAATTGCGATATTTTATTATAAGAAAAAAGTCAGCATTCAGAATTTTCTTGTAATTTCAACTTTACATCTGACATATCTGAATTTTTCTTGGAATTCTAAGTTTACATCTCACAATTCAAACTTTTCTTCTTTTTTACATCTCTATTCCTCTTTCTTGTTTCAAACAGAAAAAAAGTGAATTGCGACTTCTTATCTTGCAATTATTTATTTTTTCTCACAATTGCACATTTATATCTTGAAATTCGGACAAAAAAAATTGTCGTCTCACAATTCAAACTTTTCTTCTTTTTTACATCTCTATTCCTCTTTCTTGTTTCAAACAGAAAAAAAAGTGAATTGCGACTTCTTATCTTGCAATTATTTATTTTTTCTCACAATTGCACATTTATATCTTGAAATTCGGACAAAAGAAATTGTCACAATTACCTTGCTTATTTTTTATTCCATAGCGGAAACAAGCTTCCACAGAAACTTGTGGTGAAACTCTGATTTGAGTGGAAAATGTTGTTGTGAATACACAATGAAATTCCTTGCATATCTTTAGTTGCACTGACACTAATAGAGTGTTGAAGCTGTGACAGCAGCTGGACGCTTTACAGCATTACGGTAGAAGACCTTATGGCCAGATCTGTCTTTCTGCTCAGACATACTAACATATGTTGAAGTCCTGTTATTTTGGCATGTATGCAGCTGCAGTTTTGACAGGATGATCAAATAACACTGTGTGAATGTAATCGTAGTGGAAAGCACATCTCTTAGAGCTCATCCTATAGTTTTGCTTTCTCTTGCGCTCAGGTGGTGCAGCGGATCAAAGCCGTGGAACATGAGACCAGACTGCTGGTGGTTGACCGAGAGACTGACGAGTACTTTCGCAGCCTGCGTCTCACCTGCACGGAGGAAATGGCCATCCAAATGAGCCCTGGAGCCACGAGCCCTTCACCTTCACCGTCCACCAGTAAACAGGGCAATGGCTCGGTGTCCAAACGACCTGAGATCTCCAAACCCATCAGGAAACCTCTGTCACGAGCTCCTAAAAAGGTATGGATCCATTCACTATCTGTTATTGGCTTCTGTTGTTCAATGAAGAATCTTTAACATCAGTAAAACCTTGTAGTGAAAGGTCCTTCAGATTATTCAAATGTTCTTCACTCTTGGTTCTTTCAAAGCGAAAGTTCACTCAAAAATGAAAATTTGCTGTTAATTTACTCCCTCTGAGGCCATCCAAGATGTAGATAAAATTTTTTGTCTTGAGTAGAACAGTAAAGAAGATTTTTAGCTGAAACAGGTGTCGATTAATAAAATGCAAGTCAGCAGCTGCCTGTTTTTGAGAGTAAAAAAGCATATCAAGCAGCACAAAATGAAATTCCCATTGCTCCTGAAGGTCTTGTGAAGCGAAAAAATCGGTCTGTGCAAGAAACTGAATATTATTACCTGTAATCCAGAGCCTCAGGCAAACGGTCCAGATTGATGTCTGGTTCGTGAACGAATTGTTCTTTGTGGTGAACTGGATGAAGCAGTTCACCAAATCGGACCGAACCATCTGAAACAGTTTGTGGCTCGAGCAGCACAGATTTACAAGTTACTCAATCAAAACTCACTTTCAGATGCTTGCCAGTTACTCAGACTCGAAATGAGCCAAAATGCCGCCATATATAATCTTATAATGCTGGTTTTTGCCAACTCATTCAGTGCTCCAGTTCCTCCAGCAGTCACTGAACTGATGAGCCGCTGGTATGCACGTGTGAACCGAGCACTTAAATCAAGGGGCAAAATTAAAGTCTTTATGGTTTCTCATTGTTTATGTAAAAAGGTGAGCTGATGAAGACTAGTTTATTCACTTGATATGCTTCAGAAAAGTACAGCTTTTCACATCCTTATTGGGAGCTTTAAGGAGCAGGTCATGTGGTTCTTTAAAGTGTCCTAATATTGTGTTGGAGTCCCCTACAACAGGTTTAAATGCATCTAAGGTCAGAAAACACTGTAATTTTCCCAGAATATACATTTATGCATAGAGATTTGTCCATGATTTCGAAACGGTTCGTTCGATTCAGTTCTGAGCTAAATGTCTGTAAACCCCTCCGTTGTATAAGCCTACTCTGCTCTGAGTAGTCAGCTGGCCAAGCCTGTTGTGATTGGCACATACA